TAATTTTATGTAAAAATTAAAAAATGTGGTTGACTCTTACTTCGCCCGCTGATTGAGTTTTGTTATTATGTTTTGAAAGAGTCCTTTGAATTTGTTTATTTATTTGGACTCTTAAATCGGTTATTACAACGTTAAAACTTTTTGCATTGTTATGGATGCTTAAATATCGTATATAATATTTTGAAGGTTCAACAAAAAAAATTATTTTCTGTAGCTAAAAAGCTTAAGATCTGTATCTAACTAAATTTTTAGATACTTCAGCAAAACCAATCTTTCCGTGTAGTCTTACTAATATTATTCAATATGCGTTATTTTTAAATATCTATTTTTAATATATAAAATAGCAATATGTAAAATTCAATATGTAGAATGCTAATCAAATGAAGATCAATATTTTGCAAAATACGAATAGATTGAATAAAAATGTAATAGTTTTGAATAAACTTAAATCAGATGACGCTTTAACCGAAACATAAGTATAATTAGATTAATTAAAAATTCTGTGTATTTTTAATTTTAAAAAATTCTTTTTCAAAAATCAAAGATTTCTGAATCGAAAGATCATGATGGACCTCTACCTTCCGGCGGTTCTCCAACCTACTTGGCTCGAACAAATACAACTGGGTCACCTTGCCGGAGGTTTTGCAACTTCGATAGGCAGATAAATGTCCAGAGGAGCGAAACAGTGGGCAAAACGCAGCCTGAAAATCCGGTTTGGGGAAAATAATGACGCGACAGCGTTCGACGATGAAGACAGGAGAGAGAGGGCTGGGTCTTTGTGCAGCGATGGGTGCAAACCACTTCTTCTCAAATTTCTTGGAACACATTAACCGTCCTCGACGTGGATAATTTTAGACTCGTGAAAGGACGATACCGAAATATCGTCATGGCCAGGAAGAAAACTATGCCTTCCGCTGATGTGACGTCGTTAGAAGAAATAATCGGCAAATTATTCAATCTCAGTCTTCATATCAAATTTCTTGAAAACTCTTAAAAATTTTCATTAAATTATACCTTTAAAAAATATTACACCTTTAAAAAATACAAAAAAATATGAGTAAGCATATTTGTAAGCGGTAATGACACATAAAATGCAGTCAAACAACTGTGAGAATGTTACGTATTGATTCATTAATAATACGAGTCAATTAAACCTGATTAAATTACGATATAGCATTATAGTCAAAAAATGAAAAGGAACATTTGATAGTTCCAAAACACAGATCATTATATTTTTCAACATACTTGCATGCACGTGTAGCAATATTGTATTCATAATTGAATATTCAATCCTCAGTTCGATTTTAACAATGTAAAACGAGATTTGTAAGGTCTTTACCGCATCAATGTCTCGACGCCCTAAATTTTGAGGGCCAGCTTTCGGATCGATCAAGGCTGCGGTTACCTCGATTAAATGATGCCGATCATCCTAATGCATTTCAATTGCCAGAAGGTGAATTACGTAATAGCATGTTATACCCTCGCCGCGCCCAACGTGTCTCCCTGTCTCCCTCTCTACCTCTTTTTCATTCTCTTTCTCTCTGTATCGACGAATAAATGCGTGCATGCATATATTCGAAGTAAGGTTAAACTCCGATGACATTTTGGACGACTTTCACCGTGCAGGACCGGCTACGGTACAGCTGCTTTCTTCGTCTTTTCGTCGTCGTCGCGTCGTATCGGCGCGGCTCAGTATAGGGCGCGGCCCACACTCGCAAGTCCGATCAAAAATGGTACTTACTACTTACATGCAGCATTCGCATCTGTAGGATCGGTCCGCCGGATTCTTGTTGCATGACCGTGACCCAAATTCCGCGATAAGAAGAAAATTGGATCAACGGAATCCGCAAGATCGAAATAAATTAACGAAGAAAACTTATAAATCTTCTTTAAAAATATGAATATTTTTTCTTTCTGCATACACATGTATGCATGTCGTAATTTATACCTTTATACCTGATTTATTTTAGAAAGATGCAGAGAAACTTAATCTACCGTATCTTAGCGAGAGCATTCCAACGGCAAGAAATTAAATGGCAGTCGACTGACTGAACTGGATTAGAATGAGAGTAGCTGTTAGCAATCTAACGAGTAACAAGTTAAAGTCATTTTCTTCGCTATAATTTGGATTGCGTGTCATCGACGATATTTTTATCGCATCCCGATCAAGCAATGTTAAAGAGAAAGCGCGAAACGTGCGCAAAAGTAAAAACAATATAACGATATAGAGCCTTCTCCGCCTATGTAAATGCATTCCCGGCGCTTGCATTTCCTCCGAGGTTTTCTATTTTATTTTTTCCGCCGCGTGAGCGAGCCGCACGTTTTTATGCACGAAAGTGCAAGAAAGTGCATTCTACCCGCCTTCAGATCAGCGGTAAGAAATGCAAATAATTATTACGAAATTTAACATGATATTAACATACATTGTATGTGAAAAGTATGTTACTATGTTAATGTACAAAAGGATTGATAAACATGTAACGTTAAATCATCATCTTTCTTTTGTAATATGAGCAATTCAAAACGTTAACAAGATTCCGCAAAATAACAGAATTACATTTATTATACACTACTGCAGTTATTAAACGTATAAAAATCGATTTCTATACGGAAAGGACGGTTTTACTGAAATATTTCCAAATTTAGTTAAATCTGATATAGATTTGTAAATAATTTTGTTAGACCATCAAAATAATTATGTAGGAGGCTCAAACTGATTACTAGAATGTCAAAACTTTTTACAGCATGCTTGCAATTATTAATCACAAACATTCGATTTCTATATGAAAAGAACGGTTTTGCTGAAATATCTAAAAATTTTAACTAAATCTAATAAACATCTGAAAATAATTTTGTTGGACTATCAAAATAGTTATGTAGCATCCTCGAACCGGTTACTAAAATGCTAAATTTTTTAAGTAAAACATTCAGCTTTATCATGTTTGAATTTTCTAAGTAATTATTTCAATAGTCTAACAAAATTATTTTCAGATCTGTATCTAGTTAAATTTTTAGATAATTTATCAAAATCATTTTTTCCATGTATATTACTGTAACATCTGTCGAATTTGAAGTAAGTGGTTCGTGAGTTTCACTCTTCCGCGTAACTTCCAAGAAAATTAGAAGACTGTAAGATTTTCGCCCGTATTCCAACATTCAATCGCGGAAGAAACAACTCGTCTCGTCGAAGCGTTACGAGTTACGAGCAAACTCGTCTGCGTGTAGTTACGCGTGCGTTCGCTCGCGCGTGATCGTTCACGCTCGTATCCGGGCCTTACGTCTACAATTCCTTACAATCGTGTTGCGAATTAGGGCTCGAGTTCACAATGTAAGAGCTCTAGTTCACAATGTAAAGCTATCGTCCAATTCAACGTCTCTCTCGGAAGGATTGATAAGTTCAGAAAACGTGGCAAATAAGAAGAGCCGAACGACAAATAGAAGCTTTTCAAATTTCAACTGAATTTCCGAAG